AAAAAAGCCCCAATTCTCCTTCAGAAAAACTTCACACCCTCTCCCTCCCCCCCACTCCCAAACACCTGCGCCTTCCCCCTCTTAACACAAACCCCCAGACTCTTCTGCAACAACTCCATATCCATCCCCGCAAACTCCTCCTTGCCCACCGCATCCCCCTCCACAATCTCATAAAGCGTCAGCACCGTCCCCTTCTGCCCCGTCCTCTCCACCCACTCCTCAATCGCCGTCGCCCACTCCTCCGGTCTACGCCAGTACACCCACACTTTGCCTCCTTCTCCTTCCTCCACTTTACTGCCTTTCTTTGTGCCCGCCGTTATGAATTCCGCCCGGTTGCCCCCCTCAGGCGAAGCCATGTATGTGAGGATTGCTTTTGCGTCGCGGAGGGAGAGGCTGCGGCGGAGAGTGGCGTTTGTGAACAAGGGTGTGGACAGCGCGTCGATGAGCGAGAGGGTGAAGATGCGGTGGTATCGGCAGTAGGATTGGATGAGCGTGGACCACGAGGCGAGTTGCGAGCTGCGGGTGCTGGCCACAGGTTGGAGGGTGAAGAAGGGGGGGAAGGAGTAGTGGGGTGGGAAGGTAAAGGCTGTGTTGGAGGGTGTGGAGGAAGACGTGGGGTTGGGTACGGGCGGGGGGTAGGAGGATGTAGTTGCCATGGTCGCAGACTTTGACGTGTGTTGGTGTAGGTGCGACTGCGGTTGCGGTTGTCGTTGTTTGGTTGGGGGACGCGACGTAGCGGAGGTGTTGGTGGAGGTTTGCGGGGGCTTTGCGACGTCATTGGCTCACTTGGCTGCGGGGGACATGGTAGCTCTTCTCTTGAACTTCGACATCTTTTGCACCCTCATGTTATGTGTTGATTGTTTGTGGAAAGCTTTGAGTTCTGTTAATTTGTGACATCCTTCAATTACAACTAACGAAATCCACATATCTGGGGTTGTCGAGCTGCCATTCTCCTTCAATCTCTCGCCATCCCTCCATCCATTTTACCGTACATCTCCATATTTATCCACGTCCTCAGAACTATGGACTAATCGCAGTCCAGAGCTACGTAACCCAGTCCTCTCGTAGATTTTCTCAACCAATACTTCTACGTAATCTGTCCGACAAGCCCAGTGTGTAGATAGCCGACCCAGATGGTAGGGGGGCTTCATGTTGTTGCCCAAATTTCTAGGTGTTCGTGAATGACATCAATGACCTGACCTAGGGTTATGCCACCTTTGTTCTCGGTATAGATCTCACCGTGGCGCACATAGCGTTCAGTGGCCTTGACGAAAGAGCCTCCACTTCGTCTGAGGTGTACTTCAACTCTGATTCCAAATCTGATCCCCGAAAGAGGCGGAACACATACTAGCATGTCCTTCCATGACTCATTTTTCTCTTTGGCTGTCTGCTCGGCCGCTTCAATCGCATCCATCAGGTCGTTGCGTGTGTAGTATTTTTGATGCCACTGCTGCTTATCATCATCATCTTCAAACAAGGAGCCGAAGATGATGTGAAGGTATTCGTGCAGTTTCTTGACCACAGGATGGACTGTAATAGCTTCTGAAGCGTTGTTGATACGGGACCCAAGGGAGGCATACCCCGGAAAGATGACGGCTGGGGATGTGATCAAGTAACTTCTCGATCCTACTCCACACTCTCTGGCCTTTAAATCGAAACCCAGAAGCAAAGTATGGGAGACTTCACGGTGTCCACTTTTCTCCTTGTCTTCGCCATCATCTTGGGAATTCTGTGTCATGGTACGGTTCACGAACAGCTTGTCACGAAGCTTCGGGTCGTTGCCTGGAAGGCACGCACACCAGGTCTTGCAGACTTGCTGACAACGTAGGACTAGATCCAAAGTTAGCACACATACATGGTACTTCTCGGAACCTAACCGAATAGTACAAGCAGCAAGAATCCACACAAGCGACTTACGATCGAAGAAATCCAGCTCATGAAACACCATTTGCAGCACCTCCGGCGGTATGTGCGGTGCAAACAACTCCATGTTGTTTTCGGTGTCACCTTCGTTCTTTTTAAATGCTTGCATATTGTCGGACAACCTTATGTGTAAATGTTGAAGTGGTTTGTCGAAGAAGAGGGTAAAGGCTTATATAGATTGGTCAAGGTAGTTTGTTGAAGAAGAGGGTAAAGAGGATAGAGCGCTCAAGGCAGACGAATATATGCTGACTGTGCGCAGAAACATTTCGCTTGCGTAAGGGATGTGAGAGTGAAACGTAAGATATCAAAAAATGCTAGCGGATACAGAGGTGAGAGTGAAACTGGAAATGGATTGTTTGTTTAACGAACACACTGTGTGACCATCTCCGCAACTCTAGTGACTATCGCTTTCTTATTCAAGCTGTCACCAATGAGTGTAAAAAATAGCTCGTCTTTATCACTTCTTCCAGAGTAGCAACCAATCATTTTGTACTGTTCAATAGGGTACTGTGATTTGAGAGGCCACTGAGACCAGTGCTCAATCAGTCAAAATGCCCGTACAATACCAGAACATACTGCATCAATATCATTATTCGTTGATCTGAGGCTTACACAAAAGCCGTCACCGTGTCCTAAGAGATACATCCAGCCAGCCATATGCCGCAGTATCCTGATATCCGCCTCATCACCATAACCATATCTTTGCACAAACATCCCCTGCGCCATAAGAAGCACATAACCAAGCCCAATCTTTGCGCCAAACACATGAATCTCTTTCCCGGGAGATCCAAACCAATGGTATTCCAGAAAAAACACACGCAACCTGCCAACGTTTTCATATTTTGCTCAAAATCCCCACCTTACCGCCATCCCTTCCTCTTCTGCTGCTGTCCTGCCTTAAACCTAATCTGATCCTCCTTCTGCTGCTGAAACATCTTGACCTCCCCACTATACCTCTCATATTCTCCCATCCAGTACTCGATCAACCCACTCACATCGTCCACGAACCCTTCTGGCCCGCGATTCCACACCCACAAACCGACGACCAAGATGCCGCCCCAGAAGGCGAGGCGGAAGGCGAGGTTGATCCAGAAGACGACGGCGCGGTACATCATATCGAGGATCTTGAGCGAAATGAAGAAGATGAAGAGTAGGGCAACGATGGAGGCGACATCCGGTTGTGTGATGAGTTTGTTGAGGAGGGGTGAGAGGTGCGTGGAGAGGGTGCGGGAGAGGCCCAGAAAGGTGGTTATGATGTGGAGGGCGGGGTCGGCGAAAGAGGGAGGGAGGAGGCGGGGGAGGAGAGCGGCGTAGTCTGTTTTGATTCTGTTAGATATAGGTGTTGCTGTGGCGCATGCATGCGTGCGCGCGAGTATATGCGCTGTTTAAAGTGGTGGTTGCAAACTTACCTTGTACGAAATCCATATTGGGCTGTTTGCGCTTCGTTTTGCTCTCTTACAGAGTAAAGTGGCGAGTCGTGTGCGGGACGCGATGAGGGAGACGCGTTGTGTGTTTGTTGTTTTGCGGGGATCGCAAAAGCGCAAGCGCAGTAAGTAGTAAAGTTGTGAAAGGGAAGTGTTGGAACACAGTGATCCTTTCTACCCTTCCAGAAAACAAACAAAGCTACGTGCTAGTACGACCGCGGAAACGTCAAGATCTAGGGGTTTCAGCAGGGCTACATGCAAAACAAAAACATCAAGTTTCAAAATGGACGAGAATATTCCCCTTTCGCGTGTTTTGCGGCGGTGACAAACTGTCCACGTTGTTTCTCTTCTACGTTCGGTCTAGTCTCGAACCCTTTTTTCACGTGTATTTGTCCCGCTCCTCAACAAGCAACTTTGTTACATCCCGCTCTTTACTCAAAGTAGCCGCGACCCACGCAACACGCAAGTGATTGATACAGCTGCACGTCATATTGCTGCGCTTCAACGCAACCGTTTTTGGCGTTGCAGAAAAAAACGTTATGCACAACTCGACAAACGAGGCCAAAACGGCAAGCAGCCTAATCACCCCACGCACCCCTGTCCAACCAAAAAAAAGTTGTGTGCAGATAATAACCCTTGATCAAAGGGTAAGTAGTACGGAAGAAGTCATGGAAAAAAGGAACGTATGATAGGAGAAAAAAATGATGAGACCTGATCTACCCGAGACCCCCCACTCACACCAAGAAAATCCCATGTACACTCGACCGGCTTCAGTCATCCGTATGTACATACACTACTATGCAAACCACTTTATGTTCACAACCCAGTAGTACACTACTCCGGGTTATGTCCATCCCGCTTTCTCAATCCACCTCCACTTTCTACCCGCCCAAAAAAAAACTACCCCCACCTCGTACCATCATCGTGTTTTCCCCCAAAATGAAATTCCCTGATTTTTCTTTTTAATCTTAAATTCCGAGAAAAAAAAAGAAGGAAATAAGAAAACTGGCGACTTTTGCGGCTGTACATCGCGGGCCGAAGACCGGATCTACTATTTTGTAATGACATTCCCATGGTCTTGGCTCTTACCCATTTCTCCCCCCCCAATGAAATTAGCCAAGTTAAAGGTTTTAGCTTGCGGAGAAAAGAGCGTAGAAAAAGGGGGGCGAAGAAAGCGAATGAGAAAAGAAAATCACATTCTAGATGTGGATGTTGCAGAAGGAAAAAAGTGGGGGAAGGGTTTATCCAGGGAAGTACCTGGTGCATGAGTGCCGAAAGAAGGTAAGAAGGACGATTGTGGCAAACTGGCGGTGTGTGTAGAAGGCACGGAGATTGTGGGTTGGAAAATCGGCACGCAACACGGGGTGGCGTCACTTTGGAGCCAAGGGGGGTTTTTTTCTGAGACGGGTTGCTTGTTGTGGGTTCCCTGTCAACCGCGGGTGGAGCCGAGATGCTCGTCCGTCTGGTGGGTATTCAAAGAGAGGGGATTAAGTGGTAGTGAATAGTAGTGTCACGCAATCGAATGATAATGGTTGTGAGAAGACCGACATGATGGTAAATGTGTGTGTGAATTGTTATTCCTATCTGATGTTGAGAGAAATTAGTCTCTCGCTGGGTAACCCAGCTGTCTACCCGATACTCAGATACATGTTTGCCTATCCTACAACGCTATCCTCCCTTCCACGCCTAATGCGTGCTTCGGCAATTGGCCGACGAGCTGTCCTCGAACAAAAGAAAAAGAGGCTCTAGGCCCATGTAGATGACGCAAAGGTCTGGTATCATAATCACAAAGCGCCGCCAAACTCCAAGGGTAAAAATCATATGTGGTCGTAAAATATATGTATGCGAAGTGAATGTCGCGAAGGTAAATGGTGTTGTATCCGGTTTGGTGACAGTTTCTAAAGTGGTGTAGCGGAACACAGTGCATGGTAACGCACGCAGCTGTCGAGCCAATGTACCACCCGGCTGGGGTTGTACTGGAACGACAGCAGCTCATGCAGACGACCGGTCGTAAAGGCCGCTCGTGACGAAAGGTTGGTAAAGATGATTACAAGAAGTATAGGAGTCGAAGAGTGGAAATTATATCCAGTTTCCATTGCGTTTCTGCTCAGCCTCGAAATTGAAGCGGAATGCAGAGGCCTCAGATACAGACGGGTAATGTATCAGAGGCTGCGACCGACGGGAAGATACCGATCCACGGTTGAACTCTCCACTGGGTGAACAAGGAGAGTATGGGGTTGGTGGTCGATCAGCGAGTGATGAAGCAACACTGGACTTTCTTCGTGCTCGCTCCGGCTTCTGTATTGAGCTTGTGGGTGATTTGATTGAGACAGCGTCTGTCAATGATGGTGTCCTTGGCGGAAAGTCGTATGTGCTGAGCTCCTTCTCGAAGAAAGATGGGGTCCTGGGCGATACACGGTCTCGCAAGATAACTCGGTTTGATGGTCGGATGCCATACTCATCCAGCCGTTGGTTGTATTGGCTGGGTCGTCGCCATGATTCGAATTCAGCATCGTCCAGTGGTGTGACTGCTCGTAATGAGAAGCCTCGCATCTTCCTGCGGGATCTTGTCCACACACAAAGAATGGCAAGGGTAAGGGCACACACGACGAGCGAGCCTGCGACTGCACCAATGATGATGTAGATTTTGGTTTCCTGCTCCATGATGGCGGTGTCGATGTGGAAGTGTAGACAGTCAGTAGGGGTGTCGTGAATGAGAAGCCGAGTTGAATATGTGAAGGAGTGACGTCTATCGGATGATGATCATGCTGGCTGCGGTTGACGCGGATGCAATTGTTGATGGGGGCGGTCGACGAAACGACAGCGGTAGACGAAAGAGTCCACTTCTGTTTGATATGAACCCGGAAGGGCGATACGGATAAAGTAGTGCGGGACAGGTGGAGGGGGGTAAGACGGGCGGACACCAAGGTCATGCGTGTACCCTCGCTCCACAACGCCGTGGCAAGATGGCACGCAACTAGCGGGACGAAACAAGGCAAGACAAAGAACGGTCTTGCTAAGCGGCGCACCGAGAGAGAGGAGTGTTGCGGGTTATAGCGAGCAGGCTGGCTTGGCTTGAGGCAACATGCAAGGTACAAGAGAGCGGCTAGTGGTGGGCAGCGAAGTTTGTCAGTAGGGCAGACGGCCTTGGAAATATCGGTGAGGTGTGCACTAAGAGGACATCCATGAGGGACTAATATCGACAAGCTTGGAATCTGGTCCCGCCGTCAGCGATGGCGCAAGTACCGGGATAGGCAATTGCACCGTCTCTACTGCAAGGGGCCTGCTGCTCCCGTCCAGTGGGTGCAGTGTCAGAGCCACGGAATGGGCGAGTGTGGCGTTGTTGGGGTCAGCAAGACCGTGGCCTTTTGACAACGCATGCTAGATATACAACGAATCCAAGGACAGAAGACGACTTCAGCCTCACTGAAGTGATACTCGTGGCTTTGATGTCGGAGACGACAACCCCCCCCCCCCAGTTTGCGTAGATGCTTGCGCTGCGTGCATGCGTGCGTGCATGCGCGTGTATGTACGAACAGGACAGTAGATGGGTGCGAGCCGTTCACTTAGCTCCTATCCGCAGTACCCACTTGCATGGTTTGGAGGGCGGGGCAGATAGTTGACTGGAGTGGGAGGGTGTGTGGGTGCTGGTCGGACACTTCGCTTGCACGCAGGCACTGACAGAGACGTCGATCTACACAGCTCTCGCCAAACTCGAAGCAGCATCGCTCCCTCGCAGGCACTGGCCAATGCCGTAACGGACTTTAGGTGCGTCCCGCGATAGCTTCCTTGAAAGGGCCCCAGCGTCTCTTTGTCCTGAGCTGGGCTCGCCAGTGGGGCGGGGCGCGTCCAGATTCTGAGGGCAGGCGTTCGCCCGCACACAAGTACCCGGGGCGCGCAGAAGGAGATGAGCTGGGCCAGGAAGAAAACAGGTTGAGGCGCAGTAGTCGCAGGTGCAGGCGCAAGACGAAGACGACCTGGTCCTTATCGCCGGCGAGCTATAGCCTAGGAGCTGAGTGTTCCTGACCCGTCACCCACACTTCCTGGCTGCTATGCTCGATATAGCCCAGGTGCGCCGACATGTTCCATAGCACGAACGGTCGCTTGGTCGTCAGCTTGCCAGATCAGAGATTGCTTAATGATCCTGAAGCTTCGTCCGAGGCCCCCATTTCCTGCACCACCAATCCTACTCGGCATGCTTCACCGGACCTCAGATGAAACATGTCAAATCTGCCATTGTACCCTGGAAAGACGAGCTCAACGTTGCGTTGCCTTGTGTTGCGCTGCATGGGCGATGCAGTAACATGGAGCCGGGACGACCTGGGGCTTGCACTGCTGTGTAGTACACTAACGCCATCGCCCAGTACTAGTCCAGAGGGTAGTGCATCATCTGGACTGCCCCAATGGACCTGTCCAAACAATTAGCTGCATCTGTCCAGAGCAAAAAAACCTCCGACCCTTGCCATGGCCGGTCGCTTTGGCTGATGGTTTCATTTCCAGGCCTCTGGTGGCTGATCTACTGCGTAAGAGCTGTATGCACCGTTTGTAATCCGTCTTCAGGAGCTTCAGGAGCTTCAGGCCACCTCCACCATAGAGTTCGGCATGGCCATGACCAAGCCGTGTATCTCAAACCTCTGGACTTAGACCCGTATTACCAAAGGATTTACAGCGCTGGAGAGAGCCGGACCGACTCTAAACTCCGTCATGATGATCTTCACATTTGCACCACAACCGAAATGAGACGTCCTATCACTGCAGACTAAGTATAGCCGAACGAGCATCATTTGCAACTCAGATACAGTTTGTCAAGTGGCAAACTGCAAGTGCACGTTAGTCTATTCCTGCCCTTAAAGACACACACATAGCATGTCCGGCAGTTGTGCAAAGACTGATCGCAGTGGAAGCCACGATTTTTTTCCAATACAGTGGAAGGACAGCCACGACAGGTTTGGGTCAGGGGTACCTGGACAAGGCCGGATTGGTACAGGCGCCTTTGCCGCTGATGCCGAGCCTGACCGAAATACCAATTCATGATACAACAAGAGTAAGTAGATGGTACTCTACTTAGTCTAGTCGGAGATGAACATGGCGCTGTCGTTCTGCCGGCTAAATGCCAATTTTGCACGTGGATCTGGATCGCCGCCAGGCAAGCGTGCGACGCCAGCGCCCCGGATTTCAGGCGTTAGCTCAGGGCGAGGAGATTTTCGGGTGGACTTGACAGCAAGGTTGTGACCAGGCCATCGCACTGGAATCGAGCGTATGTTTGTGTTTTGTGTTTTGCGTGAGGGAGAGCGTGTAGTGTGGAGAAAACACGGCGGCCGTGATGGGGCCATTGGTGGAACAAAAGCAGAAGGTGCCAAGACTCTCGGCTTCGCAAAGAACCCTGCGTCGAACCATTTCCCGCGCCGGCCAATCACAGCCTCGCCGTCCCCATCGTTCTCTCCTCCAAAGCTTAGCCCTACACACAGCACCGCTCCACGACCATCATCGTGACTCGACTTCTGACTATTGCAGTCACAGCCTTCTCGCCTTCTCTGCCCTATCCTTGCTTGGGCTCTGGCACCGACACACCACAGACGCTCCATCCGCCATGATGCTTGGAGATGACAATCTACCCACCGTCCCTCAAACGAGATGAGGTTGTGCACCCGTGACACCGATCCGACTCGTCTCATCACCTGCTGCACACGTCCATGTCCACGACAATATATCCAACATGACCATCTTCCTGGAACCGCCGCCGGAACACTGCGATTCCGGGTCATCTTGCACATTATAATAACAATACCCATGATGATACCGCTCCTCAACCGACATTGCTTCAACGGCCGTACAGGCACCCTGGACTCGGATCCCTCCCGCTATGCAACATCCATATTACAGCCCATGTCCCTTTTCGATAGCGGCGAAAACTTTCCCACGCCCATGTTGCAAAAAAAAACGTCATGAGACGGCATGTTCGGCAATGGCACACGAAATGGCGAGTGCCCGCTCTCGGGACAGGGCGCATTCTCGATAAGTCAAATGGACCAACCCACAAATCGTTCGCATATCATGAACGGTGGCGCCTGCTTGCACGTGCTCCCTGTGACTTGTTTCCAATACATCCGTTCTCGCTGCAGACCCGGTAACTTGTGCGCAACTTTGGCCCCGCGAGTCGTTGGAACTCGCTGCCGGCGGTTGGCGAGTCAAAAGAAAAGAAACGTTTCTCCATTTCCCATATCTCGCTTGCCGACAGTCATGACCGCGAGACTTGCTCCATAGACCCATATGTATTTACTCGTGACGCAGACATATATTGGAGGGGTCTTGGAAGGCATCCCGCGCCGGGAGTCTTTTCGGAATGACTTGTGAGGGGTGGGGGCGCGGCATCGCTGCATGCGGCATATTGAGCGCTTTTTGTCTTGTGCATACGCGCTCGGTGATGTCTACATAGGATAAATGTATGTAGGTGAATAGAGCGCAGCTTCTACATATGCACGGAAGAAGAAGCCGTTTCAATAAAACTATATTTGGTCAGCTTGTTGGTACAGTTTGTATACAGCACCCAACGATCCTGCTTCACTCCCGACGATTAGCGTCGGACCGTATGCTATGTATCAGGGAGATCAGATTGCGGAGAGGAAGCGGGAGAGTCGATGATTTGAGAATAATGGCTCCTATCTTTGCGCTACAGAAGTGTACCTGAGATGATTGGCTACCCACATAATACTAGGTATCAGGGACATGGCCTTCACATGTGCATCCTTTGACGACGATAGGAAACAACAGAGGCATTTGTTTCTGAACCCCGCAACCAAAGCGCTTTTCGAAACAAGCAACCAATACAGGATTGCGCACTCTCAGAAATACCCGACTGCCGATAGTAGCAAGAGTAGGCATACTTGCCTTCCCTTCACAATGTACCCATGTATCTTGCCGCTCACATGTCTGCGCATATCCCGCACCCAACACTCCTCCCTCATCCGACCTCGTATTCCGCTGCGAAGACCGACGCGCGCAATCGTCCCGACAAGGAAACATGGCGGGAAACATTTGTCATTTCTCAGCCACACAGCCACCCGCACTGGTAACATTTCAGACATCGTTCGCTCGGGTGCAAAAGGGTGTTTTAAACTTTCACGCTACTATGGCGCCGCACCAAGGCAGGTACCGAATAGCAGCCTTAGGCGCGACCGCCCGTCGATTAGTACTTATTTCCCACCCGCTTTCACAAGAGAACGGAGAGATCTGACTATATGCCACGGCCTGATCAAGTATCTGCGGTGCGGTAAGCTGCGGGAATTACCGCGTTTCCAAACTGACTCCCATCAATATCGTCATTTTCATCGTATGCCCTAGATTGCCATTCATATGGCGTTCTTGCGGCGAAAGAGTCTCAATTTCGGCAACTAGCCATGTAGGTAGGCAGGAACGTTTATTTTTCTTATCCTGGTTGTCGCAATGTCAAAAACAAGCCATCTCTCTCAGGCTCCATCATCAAACGTCATCCCCACTCTCCTTCTCAGCCCCTCAAACCCAATGATTCGGTACCAAGAACCGGAGTATTATCAGTCCGCGAACGACTCGGTTTCCACTGAAACTCTGTTGCCCGAAACTCTCCCCTCGCCTGTCCGTATCGCAACTTTCCCATCCCCACAAACAAGGTGTCTTACTTAGCACAA